ACAGATTTTCTTCCAGTTTTGTAGAAACCATCTTTAGTCACAATTTTCAGTACGAGTGAATATTCTAATACAAAGATACAGAGGAATTAAAAGGTTGTGGCTTAAGAACTGGGTTTAACTTCTCTATTGCTATTTTTGCCATGAACTTGTTGTTACATTGCAAAATTGCTTTCGGACAAAGTTCTATTTTAAGAGGAAACACCAGGATTTTATCTTTTGGCTTCAATTTTAAGTAGAAAATACAGAAATAGCAATTGAAAGACTCACTTTTGTTATACACACAGCTACCTCAGCATTAAAGCTGCAATTTTGACTTAGCTGGAGCTGAAATATATGAACATTATTGGGTATGTCCTTGAGCTCTGAAGAAGGAGGTCTGGAATGAGAACAAGTGCGGGTCCTTGGGAGAATGTGGAAAGGCAGCCTGCAGAAAGGCATGTCTATACGTTGACCTGTCTGTTGTGAAAATAGGGAAGAAAGCCAATCATTCCCAATTCTGCAGACATTCTGACAGCTAAAGTAGGCATTAACAATTTGCAACACATGGCATGGGGGATGAAAGTCTCTGAGCTCTACAGCTGAGAGTTTCCTGGCTGAAATGAAGTAGCAGTTGAAGGTATTTCAGAGAAAAACTTATTTTATAATCCATCATGTAGGGACAAAATGGATAACATTACAGAAAAATGATGTCACAACTCAAAAATAGTACCTGTTCTGGCTTCAAGTCTCAATAATTCTGAGGTTTTTTTGGCCTGAGTTGGAAATAGGAGCAGGAAGATTTGCACAGCCAGATCTTTAGGCAATGAGAACTGTTGTTTCCTTAAAGGACTTAAATTGAGCTCTTCTGAGATCTCCTTTGCAGTGTTATAAAGCTGTTGGTTTTCTTGCTTAGACCTTCAGAGGGAGGGAAGATTATTTGTATGAATAATTCTGAACTGGAATAAATTGAGACAGAGAAGTAGCAGATGAATATTTTCAACTGTTGCTATTACAATTTACATGCATTAAAGATGTGGTCAGGTATATTTGGAGGGACATCAAGTTCCTCTAACATGGAAAACAGAGTCAAAAACATAAAAAAGAATGCCATTCCTTAGAAAAATTAAACAGCTGAGAGAAGAAAATATGTATTTGAATTTTGATTATTTTTCAATAATTCTGTGTAATTGTTATAGCAGCAAAGCCAATTAAGCAGGTTAAGTGAAATCGTATGATAAACATGAAAACAATTTTTACTTTAATTTTGGAGACAGAAACTAATATTATCTTTACCAGTGTGAATCTGTGAAACTGTTTTATTCACTATTTACTCTGCTTGCTTTTGATTTGATTTCAACCAATAAAATAATTCTTAGACATGTACTCTCTGTTGACATAGTCATGCTAAGTGTTGAACACAATGGTTAAAACAAGAGTAATTTCATTATCTTTTTGTAGTTGTGATTAATAACAATAATAAACCATTCTGTGGGAAGAAAAGATCTGGGGAGATACCTGATGATAATAAGGAAAGACTGCGACGTACCTAGAGTGACTCCATTAGATTTGATTTTGCAGGTTTGGTTTACTAAAGGTATTAATGTCTTGCCTTCAGTGTCTTTTTACTGGCATTCCCTTTTCACATACATTTAGCTTATGGAATTCCAATTGAAATAAAATAATAATTAAACCTTGGACTGACACCAGTGAAAAGCGCTGCTTTTTGTAGGGGTCATTTGTACCAATGGCTGGTTTTCATTGGGTCCCACTGCTGTCAGTGATGTTCAACTGAGAGCAGTTTGGTATCTGCTGCTGTTGTTGTCACAGTATTTGCATCATTGCAGTGTCTGCCAGATTCCTTCTCTCTTTCCTTGACATCGTCCGTCCGTGGGAACTCACGGCTGGGAGACTCAGGTCCCGGCAGACCTGCCACAGGGGGGATGGTTAATCAGGGGCTGGGAGTCCCCTCATCCCGTTCCCTGTTACTGACATGGAAGTAATGCGTGTACAAGAGCACTGCTGTGATCCTGCTCAGTCAGTGGACAGAAATTGTAATAATTGGGTGGCGAGGCCGGAGCTGGCGCGAGGTGTGACGGCAAAGACAAAGGGGACAGGAAATCACCATCCGGCGTCATATGCTCCTTCTCAACCTTAACTCTGATTGCAGCTGTCAGTGTGCCATTATGGTTCTTCAACGTGCTGTTTTATTCAGCTCAGTGTGTGGGAGATATTTTTTTGGAACTGAAACAATGCTGGAAAATGATTGGCACAAGGTTACCTTTAGGCACGATGCAGTTCCTGAGACTGTTGCATAAGAAACAGCAGTATTAACTTACTGACAAGGGGATTTTTGATTTAGTTAAAATCTGTATTTTTCATCCATGTCATGTTTTAACTCTGCAGTGAGTCAGAAGCACTGGAGATACAGCTGGGAGAGCATATTCCATTAACTCTACTTTCTTAAGATCTATAACAAGTATTCTGTTTTTCTTTCATCTATTTACTCTCCTTTAATGCCATACTTATATTTTTTTACAGCATTAAGGATGGTTTGAAATGCATTGGATAAAATGTTAAAATAGTGCTACAGGAGAAAAAAAATATATTGAAGATAACAAAAGACACATCATTCTCATGACCAGTGAGAACTGGGATCACAATTATTTCCTATGCTCTTTTACTGAAAACATTATTTTTTGGAGGTGTAAAAACCTGCATTGCTCAAGACTGAGAGAAATTAATTTCTTGTCTCTATGTAGAACTCCATGGTTGAACTCTTCTTGCTTTAATTTAAACCAAGCTCTTCTGAGTAATTATGTTTATTATTCTTCAAAGTTTATGTTATTTATTGTGTATTTTTTAGCCTTTAGTAAGGTTACTATTAGCTTAGACTTAGGAAGAGAAACTCTAGTGATTTTTGGACACATAGTTAATGAATTAGTAGTTTTATGGATATGCTAATGATTTTAGTATATATGTATTTTAGCTGAACTTTTTTATGTTGCATATTCTTCTAAACTGAAAAGTTGTCTTAATTTTTTCTCCTTCATGAATTTATAAAACAGAAATGTGTAATGATAAGCAACAGTGAATTAATATATTGAATATATTGAATATATATATAACATATATAACTCTCTATACACATATAATATATCTCAACCGTGTTTTAAAAATCATTTTAATAACATTGCACCAAAATAATCATAGGTTCATGGTGACTCATTTTGTGTGTTCACATAAAAACAAGTTCTGAGCAGCCTTAGGTTTAGATTTTTGAAACTGTTTGAATCTGTTTTATTACATGGCATGTTTGAAAAGATGAGATTTGCATTTGAAAGCGATGAATCAGAACCAAAACCAGATTAGACAGAGGCAGGGACTCTTCCCCCTCCCAAGGGTCTGGAGCCATTTACTGTAGCCATTAACATGTCTCATGGCTTCAGGTAAAGTGTTTCCTCAATAAACATGAGTAACATTTTTATTTAAGAGAAGAAGAAATAAGGATCACCAATGAAGTGTCAGAGAGCCTTTTTGTTAATCAAAGCCTTCATGCATATCTACAGTGTTTCCAGATTTTTTATTAGTATTTTTTTCATTAATGAAAAAAAAAAATTGGGATGCAATCCACCTAAATCTTGCCCAAATGGGGACCTTTTTTCCTAAAACTTGTCTAAATCCCACACAACAGCACACCTTGAATGCTTCCTAGGTCTGTCTAATCTTACACCCAATTTATTCATCTCTTCCTGAATGAAAATTTGTAAAATATTGAAGAAATTATTTTTACTTCTTCATGCTCAGAACTGTCTGCTTTGGCAGAATGGACAAATCTCCTGCTTAGATTTCTTTTTTATTTCTGGACTTTAGTAAACAGACAATTCCACCTCAATACTGTGGAAAAATCTGAAGAGCCCACTGTGCAAAGCACCCATCCAAGGAGTAAGGTGGCCACCTTCTGGGTTCTGCTGAGGCTGGTGATGCTTTAGCTGTATCTGAAGAGACTGCCCATGCCAACAATCCTGATGTCTGCAGATGGGGATGGAGTTTATAATGTGTGTGCGAATAGGGACTGAACCAGAAATCCTCCTTCCAAGTTCTAACAACTTCCCTTCCTGGTTCTAACAAGCAGATCTGACTTCTTCCATCTGGTGCTAAAGAGGATCGTTCCTTAGGTGGTTCTTAGAGTCAGATACTATCAGGATAACCATATCTGGAACTTTTATCGATATTCATTTGAGAGATTTGTGGTGTTTTGCTGCATGTGGCATAAAAGCATAAATTCTCTTCAATTATGTGATATTTAGCTATTAGATAATTACAGATAATTGCATGGGCAAGTTCTATGAACTGAAGTGTTACCATAACATCTAAAAATCTACAAATCAGGCAACAATTATGTTTGGAGTTATTATTTCAAGTATAATTACCATGAGATTGGCAGTACATGTACTTAATGGGTAATCACTGGAATTTGACTTCACAGTTGCACTTCCCCCAGTTGTAAAGTTCTTTGTCACAACATTTAAATGTAAAGATAACATAAACTGACCTCCACGTGTGTTATACTAAAACTGCAGTACTAGCTCCTTAATGTTTTAAACCCATAGTTTCATGGGGGAAAATGAGAAGGGACAGTGTGCTGTGAATGGGGAAGAAGTGAAGCGACCTTTCAACAGATACCAGACAGTGGCATAACTCTTTTTACACAGCTGTCCAAAAGAACCCTTTTATATCTATTAAAGCTAGTTTGCAACCAGCTAAAATTCTGCAGAGACCAAAGGCTTTCAAAATGTCCTCACGTGATTTACTGCCTTCCTCCCATTGCAAGGAAGTTTCATTAGCAAGATTTCATTAACAAAATTTCGTACAGTAGAGAAGAATCTGGAATTCATTCTTGGGTTCCGCTTGAACAAAGCTTCTTTTTATTTTTAATATTGTTTATATATTTTTTACCAAACTTCCAAGTTATTAAAGAGTGTATTTGCTTTTGTTTGTTTGTTTGTTTCATTATTTATCAGGTTTTACCTGGCGAGATGATTATACTCAGCATGTTATTGGTCAGGAACTCTCAACCATTCACAAAATCCACAGTAGACGCCTGGATGTATTTGCATCTGAAGGATCTGATGCAGTAAGGTAAGTCTTCTATGGTGTTTTTGCCTGGTAGGATTTGGAAGGGTTTCCAAATTATAAGGAATAGACTGGAACAGAAGTGGAATTAAAAACCTCACCAAAACCACTATTTGCATGATAAAGGGAATATAGTCATACAGGACACTGAACACACTGAACACAGCAGTGTTCAGTGGACAGAATGAATTAAACCCCTGAATCTTGTTTTTCTGATTATAATCAGGTTAAGGAAATACACTTTCTGTCATTAATTAAGGTGTCAGTATTCAAAACATCAGGCCTTTCACTCAATTTATGCATTTTCTAGTGTCAATTCAGCCATCTCTACTTATGACCTGCTTAAAAAGGCAGACTTATACAGTAGCTCATCCACAGGAGACATTTTATTCTGGACTAAGTATTGAGTGACATTCTGAGCAACTGATTATATTTTCAAAGTCATAATCTTCCAAAACATAGCTATAATTGATCTAATGTCTGTAGATTCCCAGTGGTAGTTGCAAAATTTTTCCAGGAAGGAAAGATTCATGCAAGTTCCCATGACAGAAAATAGTGTTGGGATATGGCTTGAAAGGTATTGAGGGATAACTTTGTAGTTATTGATTGCAAGAGACACATCTGTAATTCTGTATAATTATATGGTTGTAGAACCTGTAGTTATATATACAGTTATATATATATATATTCATAAACAGTTACACATGTAAAAATACTGTTTTACCTGGTCTCTTCTGGCTTTTAAGTGCAACCCAACCACACAAACCCCAGAAGGAAATTTTAGGAACATTAAAAATGGCAAATTTTGCTTTCTCTTGCACGGTTTTAAGAACTACAATCTCAAAAGTAGTGAAATTGAAAGAAAGTGCTTTTTGTTAAAAAACTCTCCTCATGGTGGGATAGAGTTTGAGCTTCTAGCCTTGATGGGCTTCGGATCTTCATATACTGCAATATCTGGTTTGCATATACTACAGAACCATTTATTTTCTATATTGCTCTTTTATGGAAATAAAAATGCTGCATAATTGATATTGCCCAGTGGCTTTGACTGTGTTTGCTTCATTTTGTTCTGATTTAATTTAATATTCAACCCTGTATTTCACGTCTGCTGATTCAAAAACATTCCTTAAAATCGCAGCATCATATATTTCAGAAGTGCAGTAAGGTAAAAACTTAACTTTCAAAGATGATAGTGATCTACAGATTATCATAAATGTGATAACAACATGTGTTTGAATCTGTAAACATTTTCACTGCTTAGAAATGTCACACAATGCCATTACGGAAGGGATTACTCTCTGTACATGGTATCAGAAATGATTTTCACTATCTTCTGGGGATACTTTTTTAGAATGAGTGAATCTAAAACTTTTATTCGTGAGAGTAGGACAAAATAGGTCAGATTTCCACGAGATCAAGACTGTATTCTGTAGTGTTCCAGATTTGTATTTATATAAAAATAAAAAGTATAAGCAGATATAAGAAACTATTTAGGTTTCAAATTGAAAACTTTTAGGAGTTCCTGTTGTGATCAGGTTTGAGATGTTTTGCATTTTTAATTAGAACTATATGTTAAAAAATAATCCATTTTGTGTATTGACAGTTCAGGAACATCAGAATTTCAAATGTGCTCACATATAGCACTTTCTATTGTGGATAGGTTTTCTGCAGTTACCAAGCTGTGCTTCTGAAAGCATTATCTTATGTGCCAACAGTTTAAAGCATTAATTGATTTTTCTGGTTGTCCATTTGCAAAGTATTCTGTAGGTCAGAGAACAGTAGGAAATTTGGTCTCTTGTAGATTCTGATCAAGTGTGTTCTATGTTTGGTGTGCTCAGTGTGATTGCTAAAATCTTATGAGATAATAATTAAATAATTTAAAAAGCAACTTAATGTAGGTATCTAAGTATCAAAGAAACATTATGGCAGGAAGACCTTTTATTAAGGGTAACGTGTGTAATAAGACAATATGAAGTCATACTAATGAGTCATTAATCCCCACAGAGCTGGTGAGAGCAAGAAAATAGACTCAGACACTTGAAAGGTAAATTGACTTAGGCTAAATTAGTGCATATGAAATCTGATGAAACAGAAGACATGGATTTCATCTCAAAAAAAAATGCTGAAAGTGGGAGTTTGATTTCAAGATGAAAGTTCTTTCTTTGTTGGCTAACTGGAGTGTACGTGGTATTTCCTGGGTCCTTATTAAATTTCAAAAAACCATCTCTTGAAAGAGTATCAAGATAAAGGAAAAAAGTCCATTCTACACTCAGGGAATAGATGTCAGTTGTGTTCATTGGTGCAATTAGGCAAAACCACAAACGTTTCCAGCAAACTTCAATGTATGAAATGGGGTATAGCATTATTTCTATAATAAAACCATCATTAAGTCAGTAATAAGATTCTCTCAGCACTTTAAAGGGAGAAATTTATTCTAAAAAATGTGGTATCTATTAATGGTGAACATTCTAGAAATAGCTGAGGTACAGTAATTTAGATATCTCCACACAAAAGCTTCCAAAGTGCTGAGTTTTGTAGGAAATATTCTGTGGAAAAATAATTCTATATGATATTATCTTTTTAGTCTAAAGTTCATTGTATGCGACGTAATTTTTCAGAACAAATTAAAACTGAAAATACTTCCAAAAAAATGCACAACAAGAACTCAGCTGTCATTTCTCCTACTCACCAAGTGCTTTTATATATTTGTGTTTCATCCATTTTCCAATATCACTCTGTCAAATTTAAAAGAAAGATTTTAATTCGCTTGCAATAATAGCTCACTTAATGCATTTCATTTCTGCATTAATGAGGTGAACTATAACGTTTTTTTTAAATCTTTCATATGTATTCATAGGATCCTAATAAAGTTGTCATCAAATGAAACGTAAAGCTTTGTAGTCTTTTACATTTTAATTGTTTAAATGTTTATAGCATAAAATATGGTATCTAGTGTGGAATGTAAACATGAGTGGAATTACTGTCTCCATAAGAAAAATGAGAAATCTTAGACCTCAGATTTTGCTTTTACCACCAGTGACAGTGATTATGTACTGTAAATAAGGGTTGGAAAAGCCAACCTAAATGCTGCCTTTGTCTGTGCATTCAGTTCCCATTAGCTCCAGTGGAAATCCTTGGGGCAGAATTCAGTCTATTTTTTTCATTTTCCCTTTCTTTTCAAAGTTAGTGAAGAAAGGAGAAGATAGGTGTTGGAATTAATCAGTGAATGAAAGATGAGTGTTGGAAAGTGGGATCCCTTCTATGAAGAGAGGCTCTTTGGATTAGTTCATCTCTACTGAAGCAGAAAACAATACTGCCCAGCTCTTTCTAGAACTGCAGAATAGTTTTAGTCTGGCTTTAAGTTGAAAAGGACGTGGATAATGTTACCTGCATGTCCACCCTCCATCACAAGGCAGAATTTAGAGCCCTGAAATACCAGAAACATGCAAACAGAATAGGAAGGAAGAAGGACTTACAACAAATTATCTCAAGTTTGCTACAGTGCTGTGCAGTAACCCTTTTTTTCCCTAGAGTTTCTGTGCCTGATGGGAACCTGCTTGTTTTACACTGGGGGAAGTAGAGGGTTTTCTGGTATTTTGGTGAGCAACCCTGTGAGGACTGTTGGTTGCAAAGCCACCACAGTAAATTAGATTATTAATTACATTTATTGGCATTACATTAGTAGGGACACACATTTGATTCAACTGTGAGTGTGGAAGGAAGTCTGTTACTTTGTGCATAAAGTAATGTAATTAAACCCGAGATTTGAAAAATGATCTAACGGTGCTCTCTCAGGCTGTGCCCCTACATAAACACCGAGGATTGGGCTGCTAAAATAAAATTTTATTTACAGTGACAGAGAGATGTTGAAAGTCAAATTCCTTCACTGAGCTGGAAAGCCTTTCCACCTGGGATTGTTCTTTATTGGAGAAGTGTGGGGGCATGTGGGTAGGAAATGGTGACACTAAAAAGGTGATTTCCCTCAAAACAATGCATCACTCACAAGGGTGGAAGTGAGCTGGGAACCCTCTCTCTGCTTTCTTCCACAAGGAATGAAATAGTTACTGATGCTGACATTTAAATTGTCGTCATCATTGACATGTTGTTGAGATAGATGAGGACAGCTGGTAATAATTCAGATTCATCGCACACAGCACTCTGAATCCCATATAAACACCTCTGCACTGCCATGATTTAATCAAACTTTTAGCTTTCCTTTGCAAACGTCACCAAGATCTGTCTAAACTGCTCAGAAAACACCACTATTCTGTGAATCCCAGGCACATGAGAAGATCAGAAGAAATACTTGTTCGGTCTCATTATTCTCTTTTCAAACCCTTTGCTGGAACTGACTTGCTCTGTTATTTCTGCATAGCCAGTAGTCTCCTTGTATTCTGTAAATTGGTGCAGGGCCAAATTGATGTTGAATTTCATCATCATCCAGCAATTTTTTTTAAATCTTAGAAACATTTCATATTTCTTTGGGGTGCAATTTATTCATGCGTACTTTCTTTTTACAAGCATTTTCTTTTCACAAGCATTTTCTTTTCTTTTCTTCTGAATGTATCTTTGCCTTGATGTGGCATTTTATTTGATTTACTGTAGAATCATTAGCTTTGATTCATTCCATAAATTGTTAATAGTACAAGATTTTTTTGACTACTTTTGCTGAAACACTGAATCTTCTATACTTTCATGGTTGATAAGCTTTTGAGTGACTTTTTTTTTAAGTATTGGACTAACTTCAGTGGTTTGCTGTGGCTTTTTAATTGGCCAGTTTGTACGTTGGACAGGCTGGTAACTTTCTTTTGCTTACTTTTGCTGTGCAGGACTTTTGGACAGAATGCAGATAATGAAAGAAATTATGATGGGGAAAATGATGTGAACTTGGCCAAGTCTCTTCAGCAATACCTTAAATATCTCGGTATTCTTTCCCAGTCTGCATCTACAAATCTGTATCCAAGGAAGACAAGTGACAAAGCTTCTGTCAAGGTAGTATTTTTAATGTGGTTCCTATATTCTGTGATCTTGACTTCCTTCTTCTCTGAGTTCTTATTTTTCAAATTTCCCCTCTGTCTCAAGACCAGACGTTTTTTACTGCCTCCTCCAATTAATTATCATAAGTGCACTAACCAAGTTCTCTCAAAATGAGTCACCTTCAGCATTGTAAATGCTTCAGCTTTTCAAATCTGGAGCATTTTACCTTAATGAGGGATGAATTGAATGTGATGAAGAAGGAAGAGTGGGATAAAGGTGGTAACATCTTCACTGGCTGATCTGAAAGCTTTAGGATAAAAAATCAGGTAAAGAAAATAAAGTGGCAAAGCCAAACTGCCATTTTATTCCAGGGACTAACTCAGAGTCACGGAACTACTGCAGTGTATCTGCAACAGCATCTCCTGACAACAGCACCAGCTGTAGCAACCATTTAGTCATGGTTATTATTCTTGTCAGAAGCACAAGTTTCACTGTTTCCAGTTTCACTGACTGACACATATAGCACTTATGATTTATGGTGTATGTCATTAGGTGCTCAGCTGGGGCAAGAGAAGCTTGCAGGCAGCAGCAAGGCAGCTTTGAGGAGGGAGCAGGGACCACCTTCATGCTACCTTTCCTCCACTCTCTCCTCATGGGCGCCGGCTGTAGTGAGGCTGCTCTGTTTTGAATCACTGGCTTTCAGAGACAAGAAAACTTGCTCAAGAAGTATTTCAGTGGGTCTGGTGCTGTCATGCAAGTTCATAAATAATCCATATGGCTGAGACCTTCTGTGGGGAAGCCTGCTGTGATAACACCACCCACCAACCTTATCGAGTGTTGCCATGGCGATGGGTACTCTGAAGCCTGGGGGAGTGGGAAAAAGAGGAGAAAATCTGGAAATGAGGCACGTATAGGAGCAAACTGTACACTTGTATTTACTAAGGAACATTTTAAAACAACAGACATTGAGTCAGATGTGTTATCTGCAATTTAAAATAAAAAAAGGAAAGGAAAATTGTCTTAAAAATTAGTAATCAATCACGAATTTTAAATGATCCTGGAGATGTTTCCCAATCCTCTGCAAATAAAATGCAACTGCTCTTCTTTAAAAGCAAGAGGGACGTGGTATTTTTATCTTGATTAATTGTTTCATTAATGGATTAACATTTAAATAAAAGAGAAACCAGGATTTTTGCTACTCCAGGAAGAAACAAAACCCCATAAAATTTAAAAATTTGAAAGGAGAAGGAAGGAAAGTAACTGCTTGAGCTCCCTTTGATATGGTTGTACCACTTGAAATTGAAAATGGCTACCATATGCACTTTAATTGCATGCTTCACCAAAATATTGGTACCTTAGTTTTGTATTTAATATATAGAAAAATTAAAACTCTGCATTAAATAATTGTAGCAAGATCTCAGTTTTTAAACTTTCTGGCCTTTTCTGATTAAAAATAAGGACAAGACAGAGGTATTTTACCCTATTTAAACTTAGAATTGCAACTTTTGGGCCTTTGCCCTACTTAAAAATAATTTTCTTTCAAGTATATATTTACCTCTGTCACTTCAGTCCTGCTGTCAGGGTATAGGAGATGTAACACTACTCTGGTTGCTTTGATACCTTACCTGCTATGAAGTACAGCTGAATCTTGCAGAAATTTAATGTTTCTAGTAGGCTTCCTGAGTGGATTCTGATTTATTCCAAACCTGATATCAGAGGTCTCTGGCCAAGAAAAACAAAGGAAGATAAAAGACAAAGAGGTTTTGAAATATTTCTTACACTCTGAAAGTGCTATTTTATATTTTAATATAAATATATTTAGTCAAACTGTTTTACAAACTTCCAGTCTATAGTTGTCCTACTGTCCTCCACATGTATTTTCAGAATAAAGTTACCAAGTAGTTACCACACAAACAGCTATGCACAAAGTTGTAAAATAAGACATCACAAAACCTAGAGCAGGTAACTCTTTTCCTATTTTCCTTGTCCAAACAACTGTCAGCTTGAGGCTTGATACAACAGTGACGGAAATAACACCGGTAAACTTAAATTATGTGATTGATCAAAATTCCTATAGTGTCTACCATTTATTGCAAGAGCTTCTTTGAGTGATTTTTGAAGCACTTGAGGTTTATCTTATCTAACTTAATATTTTTTCTCAGTATTTAGGCAGTATCTACTGCAGGCTGTAATCTAGTGGGCTGATAATGACCCTGCCAGGGGATAAATAGCAGCAAATCAGAAGCTTTGGTGGCTCTGTTTCCTGAGGATTACAGTTGTAAAGAACGTTTCACTTTAGTTCATCCGAAAAGAGTTGTTCAGAAAATGGGCACTTGGTGGCATTTGTTACTTAAGCATTAGCTAGTGGGGTTTTGTGTTTGATTTTCTTGGTTTCCCCCCATACACACACACACACACACACTCAGGCTGTATGAAAGTTTTACCACTCACAAAATGCTGTGTTATCAGTCTTTATGATGCCTTTATACCAAAACTGGATATATTATGGAAAATAGCACATAGCCAGGCACATACTTGTAATGAGGAAGCTTGGTTTATCTTAGCTACAGAGGCAAGAAATGCATATGCTTCAAACTATATGTGAATTCCCCTGCCCTTCTCCCCTCCAGTTAGAACAAACACCTCTCACACCAAAACATCCGAAACCAAAACCCTGAAAAAACCCACTATACTGTTGACATTCCTACAGAAACTGAGGAGCAGGGTTTTGTTGGGTTTGAAGGGACAGCAGGGAGCTGGTGTTGCTAAAGCTCATCGGCTGTAAAGGGGAGCTCGCTGGCTTTGCTGCTGCTGCTGCTGCTCTGTGTGAGCACTGGCATAGCAGGGCCACAGCAGGAGTCTTGAGGAAATTTTTAAATAAAGGAGACACTAGAAGAGAAAAATACCTTTATCCACAGTGACTGTTGCAACAAAGCAAAACAGAGAGGCAGCAAAAACGATCAGTATGGAAACAAATACCCCTGGTGTCCACTTTTCACCAGCCATTAGCCAACGCAGTGAGGAACGTTCTTACAATGTGTTTTTTTTAGAAGTTTAAATGCCTGCACTCGAATAGTTGCAGGAGATTTCAATTATGCTGTTTTAACCTGACCAAGAAAATTTTTTAGTCATCACAGAACGAAACGTTATGTGAAGTGTGATCAAAATGTACTTAAAGGTCTCAAAATCAGGAGAAAATAAAAACACCTGGAACTGCTGGTTTTTCTGTGAACAATCTATAAATTGTACATATTCTCTTTGCCTTCTGGTAGCCCGACTTATGATTTTTTTAGTGCCTCAGGTAACTGCTTTGATAACACAGGGCTCATTTTAGACACAGCGCAACATCACAGAGTAATTGCCCGGCCAGTATGGCTGGGCACACTCTTCCTCACGTTTGATCTCCTAGCTCCACTCTGTGACTGGATACTACTTTGGCTCCTCCAGAACACCTTCTGGACAGGCTGCAGGAATAAGGAAGTTGCCACCACACTTGTGCTAGGGCTGCATTTCTTGTTGCAGGGGGTCTGTATTTTATGGTTTGGCTGGAAGAGTCATGGAACTGCTTTTACTCCTTCCCTCTGACCTGGCCTCTGAGGTCTTCAGCCATGGTGGGTCCTACCTGCTGCTAACATCTTCATCAGGCCTGTGTGCCTTTCAGGCCCCAGCATGTACTGTGGGGAGAAAGGGAAAATTATCTCCAAGTCATTAGGAAATTTCATGACATTTCTGTTATTTCTTTGGTTTTTAGCTACAATAATTTTCAAGGTAGACTTTTTGTATAGGTATCATGATTGCAGAAATCTCCAACTCCTATAAATATTAAAGCAAAGATTTTTTTGGAAAAAACCAGAATCTTTACGTCAAAGAAGTCGCTGATAAAGTTAAAGCTCTTTGAAAAACCATGAATGGGAAAAGAAACAGGTGAAGTGACTGGATAGTGCCGGAGAGTTTTGCCTCAGTAGTGCAGTGGTACTGAAGGGGGAGAAGGTGCTAGTAAAAACTCATATAAATTATATAAAATAAAAATTCATATCTTCGCTGGGTTGAAAATCAATTGTTTGAATCTTTGTAATTGATCTCCTGACAGAACCAAGAAGTGTGATAATTATTTAAAAGGATTATTATTTATTTTAGAGAGTCTGCGTGCACAAGTGCTCAAAGATGTACTCTGAACTTATCTGCAAATAATAATTGCTGTGATTAACCAGTACGAAATTACTCAGTCATTGCTCATTTTAATCTGGAACTTTAATTCGAAAAAGCAGCACCCTTATTTATCTAACACTGATTAAAATACAGGACTGAATGAAGATCATCAGAAATTGCCCTGATGACTGACTGCTGAAAAGTCAGAAACCTTGCTGCGATGTATACTTTTAAACACTACTTATATAAATGTAAAATTTAATATTTCATACATGAGGGATTATGTATAAGTAAGGAAAAATGTAATTCACCCTGTCATGAACACTTTCATAAAAATATTTCAGGAATAATTGATAAAGGAATGCGTCCCTGAAGCTACAGAATTGCCCATCTGTTGTCATACTTACACAAAGATATTTAATCGTTTCACAAACATCAATATCTTTATTTACCTAAAACCATTACAAACTAGGAAAGAACTTATACCCCTCCTTCACAGACAGATTAGACAGGCTTTCTAAGGTCATGCAATATTTTTTTTGGTAAAGTGTAGACTAAAAGCTAAGTCTCAAATCCCAGAAACATATTTCATCTTTTGGATCATTCTCCTCTCCATGGCTCCTTTTAGCAAAACAGAAACATTACAGTCCTCCTAAAAAAAAGCTAACGAACATATAAAACCCCAAACCCCAACAAAACCAACCCCAAAACTCAACACTTGACCACATAAAGATGTTTGTATTGGTGCAAGTCAACCTAAACTCATTCCGTGATCAGCAGAGTGAAAAAAATGGAATTTTATAGTTGTGATCCATCCACTCTAATTTAAATATATAAAATAAGACGTAATTTCTATCCTTTGGCCA